TGTAAAATTTTTTAATTATTTTAATACTATTAAAAAATAGTTAAACTTTTATAGAAATTAAATATTTTATTCTTATTTTTTTTTATTTTTTTTTAATCCACAACCATGTTACATGGCTTGATCTTTATTGAAAAATTATATAACTATCTACAATATTACAATTTTTCATATAATAACTAACTCATTATTATACCTAAGTATTTTAAGTTAGGTCTAGAGAACAATATTTTACTTCCCTAGAAAATTGGTATATAACTTCTATTCACTAGATTAATTGCCAACGGTTTGTCATTCTAGATTATCCATAAACTATGAATTACTAAGTTAAGAAAAAAGAAAAAAAAAAGAAATTGAAAAAGAAGAACAATTCAAGGTCCTATCAAAAAAGTCCAAAAAGAAAGCAATTCTCTCTTAAAAGAGATCTACCTGATTGGGATAGTCTTTTTGTTTCTTTTGAGCCTCAAAATAAATCTTTTTTATCATTACTTACAGTGTTGAACAAGTCAATCCAACTGGTCTTTCATTTAAATAAGTATCAGATTGGAATATCTCAAGAAAAGTAATTAGACCTCAGCTTTTGTTTATTAAAGCTTTATCACTACCTGAAAAACTTAAGAAAGAGATAGAAACTTGCAATCCATATTATCTATTTCTTAATCTTTTGATATCATGGATATTTTTCTTAAGGAGCTTGAGTTTTTGGAATGTGAACATTTTCGAAACATTTTTTTCAATCATCAATAATGTTATCAGAACACATGAGTATAACTAATAGAAGCTTGTTTATATTCTAAAAGCTAATGTGTTTCATATTAATTAATCATCTTTGATAAAAATTTATGCTACTCAAAATTCAGAGTCAAACTGAAGTAGGCAAAATTCCTCAAAAAACCATGAAAGTGAAAGCTTTAAAAAAACACAGGCAGTTAAAAAGGAAGAAAATAAGCCTTTTTACTGCAGAAAACCTCTATATATCTTTCACTTCAAAGGTTAAAAAGATCTTTAGATATTTTACAGTTAGCTCTTTTTTCATTGGAAACTTTCTTGCCATTGGTATTAAAGGTATTACTTGACTTTTTTTAATTGCTAGAAGTCCAGTTTTTGAGTGAAAAGATTTGTAAACAAGAGAAAAAGTGTAGAAGTGACATTTGGAGTTATACTTCAAGTTGTTTTAATGAAAGTATTAAGATTTTATTAGCAAAAAAGTAAAAAAACTTCTTGCAAATATCTTTTTTGTATGTGATCAGAGGATCAATGGAAAAGTATAATCTAATCTAAATATTTTATACTTATTTTATAAATAATAAAATATAAATAATTAATAAAAGATTTTTTTTTATATTAGTTATATTTACTATACAATATTAAAACTCTTTCCATTGATCTTTTGACTACACACAAAAAAGACACTTGTAAGAAGTTTTATACTTCTATTCTAATAGAGTCTCATTACTTTTCTTAAACCAACCTAAAGAGTTCTTTCAGAATTTCTCACCTTCCTCTTCTTTTGTTTACAATCTCCTTTAAACAAACTGGACTCTTGTGACCTGTAAAGTTCAGCTCCCACCTTTATTACCCATGGCAAGAAAGTTACTAAAGGAAAAAGAACCAACTGTAGAGTATATCTCATCTCTCAACTATGGTGGAAATAATAAAGATTCTATTTCAGTCAAAAGACTTATTCACTCACCCTTTAACTGGCTTTGTTGCCTTTAAGAGCTATCTTTTTCATGGCTTTCTAGGGAATTTTGCTTACTTCAGCTTGATCCTAAAATTTTGAGTAGCACAGATCTCACAAATCCTGATTGGCTGATACAAATATGTTGGACAAAATTGATAAACAAGCTTCTATTGGCTATTTTATATATCTGAATACATTCCCTTAGCTTCATAAGAACCTGGTGTTCACCATAAGTTATACTGCTTGGTATAAATAGATATAGAGCAAGCCTCCAACATATCATTGAATACAAGAAAGAGACAGTTCAATCATGACAAAAGTCATAAGATACTCAATTGTTTCTTTTTAAAAATCAGAGCCACCTATCCCTAATTGTATGTCAGATAAGTTTCTTGCTTCTACTGTTTGGAAAAGTTCAATCAGAAAAAGTGAAGAAGATAACTAGAAATATTTAGTGGTAAAGCTATTGTGCATAGTAAACCAGGAAGTTTTTATTCTATCTCCAAAAAATCTCAAGCTGAAAGACTGAAAGATTAACACCACTATATCAATTGAAACTTGAGTCTGAAAATGTTAGCAGTGATATGCGAGCTGGCCAAATAATCTGAAGATCCTTGATGATCACTAATACTATAGCCACTAGCAAGGTATACCAATCGCAGGGCTAGGTGCAGTCCTTTTATAAGGAATTAAATCAGAAATACATTGCACAAATGGGTAAGTATATCCATATTCAGATAGGAATGAGTTTAATTGATGATATACTGGGAGACTTTCAAGTTATTCATGTGGATATCAATATACTGTATTACCTGGATCTTCTTGGTTATTTCCTTCCCACAAGCCTCAAAACTATAAAGTATTCCTTTTCATCTCTACCTTATTTCCATAAAAACTCAGGAGAAGCTTTTCAGATCTTCATTAAAAGGGGAATTCAAAAACAAGATAGATATACTAAAAAATACCACAGTCACCCTATTAAGACAGCTTTCTTTTATTTTTCTTTTTTTCTTCTTTAATAATATCTGCACACTCAATGGGATATGAATTTCTTTGTAAAAAGAGGACAATAAGTCTCAAAGTAGTATTAGCTTATCGAATTCTTTATTTATCCCTAAATATATATTCCTATATATATGCTTTACACAATTGTATAAAAGATTAGGCATGAACCTGTTTAAAAAAAAAAAAATTTACTATACAATATATATTAAAAATTTAAATTTTTAAAAATCAATTAATTAATTAAATATATTATTATTACTTATTCAAATTTTTTAAAAATTTTATTATTATTTGTAATATTTCAAATTAAAATAGTTAAATTTTAAAGTTTTTTAATATATATATTTTTTTTTATGCTGGCTTTGCCATACTTTATTGAAATCTATAGAAGAAGGAATTGAGTTAACTTAAACACTATATATCCAAATTTTCTTGTTTAATAAAGTAAAAACAATAAAAGATCTCCTTTAAGAATTACTTTATCTTGTAGTTAAGCCACCTCTTTAAAGACTAGAGGATTAGTATATAGCTTCACTAATGCTAAAATAAAATTTTAAATATGTATAAAAGAAAAATAAAAGAAAAAAAAAGTTGTGTTCCTAGTTGTGTTTTACTTTTTAGGAAGTTTGTTAAAGTTTAAGACCCACTTAACAAAATTATGTTCAATACCTTACCAAACTTCTCAAATCAACTATTTTTGTAAATTAGAGAATAAGATTATACAAGCTTAAATAGAGATAAACATTTTGTATTACAAAAAAGGTACTGAAGGATTGAGAGAAATGGTTTGGTTGTATGCAACTATTGTTTATCAATTCCAGTTATATTTCTTTCATATCCTATCTAATATAGAATCTTCTGTAGATGTTCTTCTGAGTAATGACAAGTTGGAGTTTCATAGGGGCTCTATATATAGGGAAAGTGAAAAAGAGGAGAAGTTTGGGATCTGTTATTTGCCAGTCTGTTCTTCTTTATTATTGCGATAACATTATTCTAGAAAGAAAAATCTTGATACTTCTGGTGTGTACCTTGGCAGACTTATAAATGTCATGCTGTTTTTTCCAAAGCATTATTATCTATAGAGATTGAACTATTGTCAATGGTCCTGACACATTCTTTGGGCATCTTTGGTCTAGTGACTGCAAGTTGGTGTTATTCATTAGGTGCAAATAATCCTAAAATCTTCCTGATTTCCCAATAAGTTTGCAATAAAAAATAGACAAAACACTTTTAAGGTATTGTTCTCATTTTGTATTTTCTTGAATTTTATTTTTATTTATTTTTCTAGATAAGTGAGAAGAAAATATGTTTCTTTTTTTTCACTTTATCAATGATATAGAAGTTAACAGTATTCCTTATCCATCCATATAAATCTAATGACTTATAGTGGATCTTAGGTTCTTATAAAGCTAAGAAAATATATTCAAACATGTAAATTGACCAATGGAATCTTGTTTCTTCTTTTTTCTAATGTGTTTGGTTGTGTCCAATCATAATACGAGAAACTTTGTGCTATTCAAAATTCAAGATCAAACTGAGGTAGGTAAAATTCTCTAAAAAAACCTTGAAACAAGTACTTTAATAGCCAATAAGGAGTAGCAAGAGATAAAAATGAGTCTTTTGCATACATGCAAAACTATATAATATTTCTCTATAGTGTAAGATGACTATACATTAGATCTTCTTTTTTTTAGAACTTTTTTACCATTAGTAGGAAAGATAGTTACTTAATTTTTTCAGTCACAAGAGATTGAAATTTGTTGAAATAGAAAATAAAAAAAAAAGGAGAGGAAGTAAGATGACTTCTAAAGGTTAACTTCAGATTGGTTTAAGGAGAGTGTTAAGGTTTTATTAGTAAGAAGGGACAAAATCTCTCTTGCGAAAGTCTTTTTTGTGTATAATCAGAAAATCAATGAAAAGAGTTTTTGAGTTTACTAATACAGTTGCTATTGGATATAATGAACTAGCCGTTCCAAGGAGTTTTGTTAATTATAGAATGAGTTTATTATATATAATAGTTAACAATAAAATTAAAGACATGTGATCAACTTAAGTTTTTAAATTTAATAGACTATTGTACAAGAGATCATGTTTAATGCTATAGAGAATCAAACCTCCGACTATTGCTAAAATTGCAATAATTAATTTTAATTTTGTTTATAATTAAAATTTGATAGTAGCATTTATTGTGTTGCAAGCCAATTTTAAAAAAGAATGACTCAAAGTAATTCAGGTAAAGAAGTGTAATATACTGTATTATAATTCTTTAAGAAATAGTACTAAAATTACAATAAGCACTTGTTTTTATCTAAAATCACACAGTTTCAGATCCGTAATCAATAATAAATGCTTGGCTAAATGTGCCAAGCAAAACAATAAGGCAGTGCAATTGTAGATCTGTTACTAACTCCAATAGCTTAGAAGAAACTAAGAAGAGATGTTATGGAAGCAAGGTTGAATTATTTATAATCATTAGTAAACAGAATCCTGTTGTTTGCTTGTATAATGGATATTTATATCCATATAGTCATGTGTTTTGAAGAGTCATTCATATCAAAAGGACTTATGTTTAAAAAAACCGTTGCTGAGACATAGGAAATTAAAAAAAAAGAGTTTGAATGAAGAAAGAAAGGTTACTTTGTAAATCATTGAATGAGTCACTTCAAATATTAGAAAACTTATTAATGCTAATGCTATTTATTTAAAGAAAAGGAATTGATTCTTGAACCTATTAATTACCTAGTATAAATCAAGAAAGCCCAATCAGTTTTAAATAGTACCAAAAAGAAAATTGTAAAAAAAGAGATAAAAGAATTAGTAGCAAGAAACCTAATAACAAGCTCTTATATGGGAACAAGGGAGCGAGTGACATTGAAGACTACTATACTAGAAATATGGTCAGTAAAACAAGATAGAATTACTTACTAGCCTCTAGTACAATAAGCGGAACTCCATTACTTCTCTGTCACAAACCAGAGAATAATTCTTGAAGACACTATTAGTCAAGAAATAAACAAAAAAATTAATACTCTCAAAGAAACAAATTAAGGAATCAGAAACAGAAACAAAAAAATTATTAAAGGAAGAAAAGAGGATCACCATTCAAACTATTAAAGATCTAGGCCATAAAGGTAAGATGAATCATGTTATTAATACTAATAATACTTCTCTAATTGTGTAACATATTGATGGTACTATTTTAAGTACTAGAAATCCATTAATACTGATACTACTCAGACAAATAAAAAACTGATCCATATATCTTAGAATTATATCAATCACTCGCAAACTGAGGAATTACCCATAACAGCAAACAAATCTGAGGAGAAAGCTATCAAATAAAAAATGGGAGAAATGAGTATTAAAGCTGATAATCAACTTAAAGTCACGAAGGAATTGTCAAGAAAAAAGGATGTATCATTACAAACCATTGGGAGTCAGATTATGCAGTTATATTATACCATGTCATCTGTATACAAGAATGGATCCTAATCGACTACACCAAAGATTTTTTAAAAACTTCCATAAACTAATTAACTCATTGCTGTTCGATTATCAATTGATTGGATGGTCATCCATTTGAGGACCACCTATTAAAAAAATGTTATGTGTAGTATATATAAAGTGTTATGATCGAGCATTGCAATTGTGGGAAGATCATATGGTTAGAAAAGAGGTGAAAAATTTTGAGATTTAGTTATATAAATAGTATTTATATAAAAAAAACCATTAAAATAAAGAGAAAACTTAAATAGAAACTGTTTTTTGTAATTTTATTTCGATAAAATTTTTATTAATAAATTTTATTTTATATATCACTATGAAAGTAATGAAGGTCAACTTGTCTAAAATTTTTTAAGATTCATAATCTAACCCACCTATTTAATTCTCTTAAAATTCTTAATTCTTTATTTACTTTGTCGAATTTTAATTCCTGTTCATATAAAAATTTAATAGTGCTGTTTATAGCTTTTTCCACTTATGTTAAACTAATCTTTTCCAATGTATAGGTTGATTTAATTTCATCTTCCAAACATTCCTCTTTCTTATTTGCATTTAATATAGCATTAATTATTTTATTATCAATAAGCTCGCTTTCTACTACTTCTTCTTCAATATGAATGTATTCTTATACATTAATATCACTTTTTGGAAGCTGTGAAATTAATGTCTCAAGAATTTTAAATTTATTATCATCTATATTACTACTAATAGTAAAAAATATATTAGCATTTATATTTATAGAACTATGCTTTAAACAATAATATATATATACAGTATCTATTGAAAATTATTTCAATTCCATTATTTGATAAGATTCCTGTTTTTTGCCAACAGGTTACAATTGTTTGAGGTGATACAGTAGATCATGCCTCAGCTACATTTTGTAAAGCATTATAAATATTATAATTTATGAATTCATTATTATTTTGCATATTATAATATGCATTAATTCAGTTTTGAACAAAAAGATGTTTGTAGTGACATTTGAAAGAATAGATCACATGGTTATGAGCAGTAGTGATATTTGAGGGAAGAAATTCTACACGTATATTGCTTAGTTTCTTTTGAGTTTCTTTCAAAATAAGATGTACTAGCGTATTGTCAAGTAAAAAAATAATATTTCATTTTTAAGTCTCATTATTTTATTAAGTTTAAGAAGAACTTCATTAAAGATTGTAACTTGCATCCAAGCTTTTTTATTCCAAAAATAGTAAATAGGAAGATTTTTATAATTAATATTTTTTATAGAACGAGGTGTTTTGTGTTAATAAATAAAAATAAGATTTATTTTTTCTAATCCAGTTGCATTTGTTGTGCAAAATATTGTAACCTGAGATTTTTTTTTTGTAACCAGATATAGAACTATAAGCTAGAACTCGAGAGGACTTCATTTTTCAAAAAAAACCCGATTTCATCATTATTCCAAATATTCTCAAAATTATAAAATAAAAGAAATTGTTGTAATTTAAAATAATAATTTGTAATTAATTCAATAGAGAGGGCACTTGCAGCTTCACTTTGTTATTTAAACTAATATAATCCACATCATTTTTTAAAACCATCTAACCATCCTTCAGATTGATAAAAATTTCTATAAAAAATTGTTTAGTAAAAAATTATGCTTTAGTTTTTAAAATATTACCATCAATATCTTATTTTGTATTAAGTATATTATCAACCCAAAAACTAAGTATATCTTCAAATTAAGGCCATTTTGTATCACAAAATTTTTTGATTTTTCTTGATCTATTATAATTGCAAGCCAGTAATTTTTTTCTTTTAAAATATCAGTAACTGTTGATTTTCCAATATGATATTGTTATGCAAGTTCAACATTTTGAAAATTTAGATTTTTTTCTTTTGTTTCACAAAGCTCATGTTTTTGTATAGCAGAAAATATGACTCTTTTTTCTGCTGACATTAAAAAAAAAAGATAAGATGTGATTAAAAATTTTTTTATATTATAATTAAAAATACAGGTTTGAAACTAGAAAATTAAATATAGTTCATTATATTTAATAAAATTTATATATAATTAATATATTTGGTTTTATTATATACAGTAAATACATTATATTTAGTTTAATTAATTATAAAAAAAACAAGTCTGAAACTATTGATTTATTATAATAAGTTTTCAGTATAAACAGGTTCATTATTATTATTATTTTTTTTTAACCCACAATTATACTGCAATGACGTATCTTTATTGAGATATTAAAAAATATCTAAATATTTTACAGACTTTCACAAAGTGACTAACTCGTTATTGTACATTATTAGTTAAAGGACTACATTACTTAAAAAATATGAGGAGTCCACTAAGCTAGTTCGGACTAAACAAAACTAAGTCTAAACTAAGTACTCTAAGTCAGATTTAGGGAACAATATTTCACTCTCCTAGTAGCTTGGCAAAAGTGCCTCTAAGTCAACCAGGGTCATCGCTAACAGTTTGTCACTGTAGATTATCCCGAAAAACGATGAATTGCTAAAGTCGATATTGGAGAAAAAAGGAAAAAGAGGAATGCAAATCAAAGCCTTTCAAAAGGTTCTTGCTTCATTTCACAGTTTCCTCTCAAAAGGGGTTTGCCTAATTGGGATATTCTCTAAGCTTCATAATGTTTGAAGAACTTAGCCATTCCTGAAAGTGACTTCAAGAAGAATGTTTGAAGAACTTATCTTTCTTCCAATGTATGAATTTGCTTATCGCTATTGAGGCCAGCACCATATTAATGAAAGAGTTTGCCTAACTGGGATAAAGAAATCTTTTCAAGAACTTTGCCTAACTGGGATAGAAGCTTAGAGACCTCAGCTTTTGTTCAAGAAAACCTTTTTATTACCTGAGAAACTTAATGAGAAATAGAAATTGAATCTTTCTTTTCATATCTATTGCTCACCTTTCGATATCATAATTGTTTCCTGAAGGTTGCATATACATGATTGGAGGGGATATTTTTTTTAGAACTTTCTTTCCTACATTACCAATGATGTATCGAGACATGTATGTATAACCAATAGGAGCTTGTTTACATTTAAAAAATTGACGTGTTTTGTGTCAACCAATCACCTTTGGTAAGTATTTGTGCTACCCAAAATTCAGGATCAAACTGAGATAGGCAAAATTTTCCAGAAAACCATAAAAGTCTTAGTCTAAGAGGCCCACAAGTGACTGGAAGGGAAAAAATAAGCCCCTCTGTTATCAAAAAACCTCTATATATCAAAGGTTAAATAGGTTTTCAGGTACTTTATAGTCAGTTCTTCTTTCTTTGAAAACTTTCATGCTATTGGTATCAAAGGTATTGCTTGACTTTTCTTGATCACTAGAAGTCAAGTTTTTGAGTGAAGAGGTTTGTGAACAATAGAAGAAAAATAGAAGTGACTCTTGAAGTCATACTTCAAGTTATTTTAAGTAAAGCATCAAGACTTTATTAGCAAGGAAGTATAAAACTTCTTGCGAATATCTTTTTTGCGTATGGTTAGAGGATCAGCAGAAAGAGTTTTTACTATAAACAGGTTTATTATATCCAGTGACAACTATATTATTTAAATTAAAAAATAAATAATTAATTATTATAGTTTTAAAAATAATTGTTTTTATTTTATAATTAGTAAAACCTAAAATTTTATTCTTTTATAATCCAAATTTCTAATTATTTTTTAATAAATTTAAACTAAAAACTTTTATTAAAAAATGTAATCAAATTATTATAACAGTTATAATTTCTGTTTTATTAAATAAAAGTTGACTATTAAACCTATAAGTCTATAATACAGTAGTAATGCTCCCAGGTCACAATCACAAGGTCCAGAGTTTAATACCATATGAGGACCATGTAAGAAAATTAACCAGGTTGCATGAGAATGAAACTTCTGGCATTCCTGTTGATCATTGGGCTGAAAAGAATCTATCGTGAGGATTGCACAAAGAAAGGTCTCTGGTCTGATTATATAAATTATACTTGACCTAATCCCTTTAACTAGATTGCGATAATTATATGAATATATCACTAACCCCAAACTGTACCAGTAGACTTTAGAACCTTGCTTTTAGGACTGCAGTAATCATCTAAATATTTCCTATTCCAAACTATACCAGCAGACTTTGAAATCTAACCATTCTAGCTTAGAATATCTCAATCCAGTGCTTGCTTAAATAAAGGACCTGTTAAATAGAACTTGTCTATGATGTTGCAGGTGATGACAAAGAGGATAAAAATCCCTCCAAGGTTCAAATGAAAGTATCAGAGTATCTGGGTGGTTAAAATAATCCTTGAAGATTTAATACTAGTATATAAGTTAGTATAGTAGCATAGTCCATTATTAACAGAATTAGCTAACTATACCAACATTACTATTGATAAATGTTATCAACTATTTGGTCCCTAGTCAGGCATGCCCTCTTACTTGAGGGGTTTCAAGCAGGTCTACCTAGAACAAGTCACGATAAGTTATTATTAATCTGCATGTATATGTATAAGATAATTAATGTCATGCTTAAGATTTAATTATCAATAAAGAGCCTGCATCGAATATTAGTTGTGAACTTAAAAATAAAAAATAAAATAAAAAATAAAAGTTGACTATTCAGATTAATATTTAGTTTTATATTGAATTCTGATTATTATAATATAACTATTTCAATATTTTTTACTTTTGAAGTATTAATAAAATAGTATATTTTATTTATATATATTTTTTTTTTCTTTTGATTTTTAATTCTTTAATAGATTAAAAAACTCTTTCTGATAATTTTCTAACTATACACAAAAAAAATATTTGCAAAAAGTTTTTTTTGCATCTTTACTAAAAAGTCTTAAATACTTTCTTTAAAACCTCTTGAAGAGTAACTTCAAGAGCTGCTTCTATCTTTTCTTACATGTTTACAATCCTCTTTAATCAAACTTGACTTCTAATAATCAAAAACAAGTCAAGTAACATCTTTTATATCAATAGTAAAAAAGTACCTAAAGGCCTTTTCCATCTTTGAAGCAGGATATATATAGAGGTTTCTGATAATAGAAGAATTTATTTTTCCTTTTCCAGTCACTTGTAGATCTCTTAAAGCTATTACTTTACAGTTTTTTAAAAAATTTTGTCTACCTCCATTTAATCCTAAATTTTGGATAATACAAATTCTTACCAAAGATGATTGGTTAACATAAAACACATTAATTTTAAGAAAAATAAACAAGCTTTTTTTTTTTTTAAAAAAAAAAATCATCAGCTTAGCCTTTACTTTATTGGATATAATTTTTAAATATCAATATAATACATGTTAAAAATATAATTGTAACCCTATAAAGCTAATGATATGACTATACTGATCAACCTCGGGCATGTTGTTATCACTGAAGTGAGAACTAGCAAGAGGCCACTAGTGCTGAAAAAATTTTGAGGGGAGAAAGGAGGGAGGTCAGAAAATAAATGAGTGGATAGAATAATTAATCTATATATACAATTCCTTGTTATATGACTTATACAGAAGAAAGAAAATTTTGTTCAGAGTATTTATTAAAACTTCTTAGATAGTGCCAAATATCCATTCATATATGATAATGGAAACATCAGTACATTATTTGATCATATTTCAGATCCCAATAATTTTTGCACAATATCAGTTGTGTTTCAGATATCTTTACTTAGGTTCTTGAAAAATGTGAGAATCTCAACTATTGCCTTTGATAGCCACTTGTGCTTCCTTGCAAAAGCTCCCAAAACATTAGTGCAGATTATACACAGGAGTAAGATACTAATGTTTAGTAGGAAGGGGAAAATCTTTAGGATAACTACTGAGTCACTTTCTTGAGAAGGTAGGAGGAAGAAGAGGTGGGTTCAATCTCATTTAGAAATGAGAAGAGATTGGGGGTAGAAACATATGTATTGATACTGATAGGCCAATCTACAAACCATTTTTATTGATCCTTGTCATTATATGATAGTGCAATAAAGATCACTATTCATATATTCTATTCTTTATATTCTAAAAGTTGAGCCAAAGAATAGATAGAGGAACCAGTGCCCTATCTTCGAATCTTTACCTATTTGATGGAGCTGGAGAAACCTATTTAATGATCAGAGGTAGGTGACTGCATCTCCAAAAACTAAACACAGTATCTTATAATCTTTATCATAGTTGGATAGACTCTTTCTGGAGATGGTCAATGACTTGTGTAGTAGTGTGTTCTATATCCATCCACATCAGATCCAATGACTTATGATGGATTCCAGGTTCTTATAAAGCTGAGGAAATGTATTTAAGACATATAAAATAATCAATAGGGACTTGTTTATATTCTTGTACTGACATATATCCTTTTGTCCAATTACTATGTAAGAAACTTTGTGCTACTCAAAATTCAAGGTCAAGCTGAGGTAGACAAATTTCCCCAGAAAAATTAAGAATGAGCACTATTAGAGTATTACCATGACAAGAGAGTAAGTGGGTATGTTCTAAAGAGTCTCTTATCATAAACAGAGCTCTGTAATGTTTTTCTACTTAAGTGAAAGGACTAAGACACTTTAGTTCTTCTTCCTTTTAGAACTTTCTTGCCATTGATAAGAAAGGTGTTTCATGGTTTGAGTTAATAAAAGTCATGTTTTTATGTAAAGAGGAATGTTTATAAGAGGGAGGGAAGCATGATGGTGACTCTTGAGCTTCTTCTCAAGTTGATTTAAGGAAAGTGTTAAGACTTTTTTAGCAAAGAAATATAATAACTTCTTGCAAACATCTTTTTTTGTGTATAGTTAGAGAATCAGTGAAAAAAGTGAGAAATAAAATAAACAAGCTTCTATTAGTTATACTCATGTATTCCTATTATATCATAGGTGATATAGAAAAAAAAGTTTTAGAAAAAGTTTCCCTTTAACTATATAATATTAATTGACAATTTGTTGCTACTTTACTTGGACTGTAGAGAGAGTATGCTTGTGGATCCACTTCCATTACTAGTGACACTTACTATAGTTACTAATTGATTGCTTGAGGTTTTGGATGAACTATCTATAGATGAAAGAGTGCTGTTAGTCTTATGAGCCAAGGCAGTTGTGGTGATATTGGCAAAGGAAGATAGAGTAGAACTGGAGCTGGTGGAGCTAGCATCAACAGTTGTACTGATTAACAGAGTGCCGGGATTGTTAGGATTAAAATTGGGAATTGTACCATTAATGTTATCTATTTCAAAATCAGTAGAGTAGGCAGTATAGGAGCTGGATGGTTAGGTTACTTTTATGAAGCTAATGTTGAGATTTCGATAGAATTAGTATATGAGAGAAAGAACGAGTGTTAAGGATTTCATTTTTATTCTTATGAATGTAAAGGAAAGTGAATTCAGTGTATGTGAAAGAAGGAATGGAATGGGTGTATTGAGGAATAGAAGGGAAGGCAGGTAAAAAGAGTTGTGATAAGGGTTAGGTAGATAAATAACTTTATTATATTAAATTTTTGTAACACAATACATGTAATTACTTTTACAATACATAGTACAGACCAATTTGTTTATATTATGTGATCATCTTGATATCTTCGAGCTATTTCAAATAGGAATCTGGTGTCTATATGTATTGTCTTAAGGTACCTTTTGTTTGGTTTAACCAATGTATAACAATTATTTTGAGATATAAATTGTGGCTTATCAAAATGAAAGCATTATTAAATCTTTGACCAAGTTGAATGCTAGTCAGAGATGGCCAGTGTATAGATATCATTATAAAATAGAGATTATTTAAATTAAATCTTTAGATTTTCTCAAAGTTGTTGCATGTGATAATTGTAAAGGTTTGTCTGTACTTATTATATAATAATAATAAAAGGAAAAGTCATTTGATTATTTTGAATATGCTGCAAATTAAAAATTTTAAAATTGGTATACAAAATAAACTGAATTAATGTATGTAATTCCAAATAAATTAATATATTTGATTTTTGATAATTGATTAATTTATATTTATATTTATTAATATCATTATTTTTTAATGGCTAGCTCAATCAAAAATTCTACAAGAATGCTATATTATAGATAGTGCAAATCAATTAAAATATATCAAAAGACTAATGATGAATGAAAATTATATAAAAACATGTTACTATTTTCAAGGAAATAGGATAAATCCAGTAAAGAGGTTGACCGATAAAATTTCATTATTAATAATTAGAGTTTTAAATTTACTTTTTGTTTTTTTTTGATATTATTACATGCTTTATAATAAAAATTATATTTATAAAAATAATATTTTTTTAAATCCAGTTAAAAAATATCTTATAATACTATACTGTATATATATATATATATTATAATTGCAGCAAAATTTTATATATAGTATACGAAAAATAGTTATTGATATAATCATATTGTCAAAACAAAAAAAAAATAACCAATTATATCCTTTTCAAAATTGAGAGTTCAAAATCATACAGTATATAAAAATAATCTTAAATTGTGAATAATTGCTAGAGATAATATTAATTAAAAAGAAGTTATTTTATCTTTCTTTAATATAAAAAATCTTTTATAACTCTTTATTATATAAGATACATGAGTATAAGACAAAAAAATATAAAGTATTTATTACTTGTAACTTAAAATCAAAAGTTTATAATAAAAGAAAACTAGAATTCAAACATATAGAAATTATTTCAATAAATAATATCTTTTTTTTTGTAATATCCATAGTTAGATTAAATTGTAATTTATTAATTAATTAAAAAAAATATATATTTTTATTTGAACAATATAATATATACTATAGTTAAACTTTTTTAATCAAATTTAACTAACTCATTTAAAGCAAAAATAGTTTCTAAGTTTGATTTTGAAACAATTTTTCATTTTATAATAAACTTTAGAAAAAGATTCTTTTAATTTATTATATTGTTATTGATAAGTTATTATTATCATATATTTTATTAAATTATTGAATACAAGAAATTACAAAGAAATAGATTAAAAAATATATAAATATATATATTATAAAAAAATAAAATAAAATTTTTTGATTTTTTTTCAAAAACTTATTTTTAAAATTTTTTTTCAATAAGAAATATATATATATATATATATTTTTTTTTTATAAAAACAGGATAGACCATTTTATTAAAATGTAATAAACAAATACATTTATTCAGAGAAGCTATACTTCAGATAAACTTTAAACCTATCTATAGTATAATATAAAATAGATTGATAAAGATCCCTGTTGTCTGCAGGATACAATTTTGAGAGGCCAGCATACTCGAAGTGCTATTGATATTTCATCCTTCAAAAAAGATAAAAAAGGAATGAGGGAATATATTAAGAATTATGATTATATGTAAAAAGTTGATTTCAATAGACTAATTAACTATAAAAACTCTCTAGAAAAATAGTTAATACTAGTTACAATATATTCGAAGACCTAAACTAGTGGTGTGAAAAGAAAGAATGTGATCAATATGTGTATGTTCCTTAAAAAAAAACTTATAGCTGATTGACGAGTTGCTGTGCAGCTTATATGAGGGGAAAAGAATTTCATTTGAGTCCACACTGTCCAATATTTCTACTGGATGTGCTTATCGTTAATGCACTCAGAGTGGTGATATTGGTATGGTATCCCATATTATTTTGCAATAACTCCCAACAATATCTATATACCAGCTTGTTGATCATTTTAGATGGTATTGAAAACTCCCAAGTCGAGTACCGGTGCCACTCAATTTAACTTTATCTAAAGTTGCCTCAGTACTGCAGGAAACTTTTCCATGTCCCTTTGATAAAATTACTTTTCAGCCAGGTTCTAACTATATATAGGAGTGAACTACTCTTGCTGAACAGGAAGGGGGAATTCTTTAGAATGGTCATCTGTGCAGTCAATTTGGTAGGTAGGTTGATGGAAGAGAGCTCCTTTTGGTATGATTGGGTGATTGTTACATCTTTCAAGATGGGAGGGATTCTATCTCTAAATGAGAAAGGGTTAGGAATAGTGACATATATATAGTTGTATAGATCAATCCAATGCAATATGTTTTACCTTGCCATGAATTCTTTTTATCCCAATATAGTAAAGTCGAAAGACATTTGCTAGGCTTCTGTATCCTAAGAGTTAAGCCAACTGGTCTGCGGCCATGTATTTCTTTCTCTTCCTTAATGAAAGCCAAAGACGTAGTAGTAAGCAATATCTTGTATCCACCTGTGCCAGATTCTTACAACTTATGGTGAACCCCAGATTCTTATACAACTAAGGAAATGCATTTGAACATGTGGGGTGACCAATGGGAGCTTGTTTATATTCTTGTACTGACATGATTCTACTGGATCAATCAAATCATGAGAAACCTTATACTACTTGAAATTTAGGGTCAAACTGAGGTAGGCAAAATTCCCCAAAAATGATTAAGAAAGAGTATATTAGAGTGGACATTATGATAAAGAGATTGGATGTGATACATTCACGATAGCTCTCTTATCATCAACAAGACTCTGTGGTGTTTCTCTGTGAGATAGATAGATAGTAGAGTATCAGTTCTTCTTCTTTTCAGAACTTTCTTACTGTAAGTAAGAAAGATGTATTCATGACTATTCAAATCACTAGTAGTTAAGTTTTTGTTTTAAGAGAGTGTAGACAAAAAAAAAAGAGATAAGAGTGACTCTTGAAAGACTTTTCAAGGTAATTTAAAAAGAGTAGTAAGACTATTGTTGACAGAAAAGCTCAAAAGCTTTTTGATGTCTTTTTTGTATGTAGTCAGAGAATCATTAGAAAGAGTTAATTTTGTAAGAAATATTTTATTAAGATATTCTTTCTTTTTTTAACTATTTAAAAATTTTATTTATTTTTAATCTTGATTTTTTTTTATATATTGTTTAAAAAAACTTATTATTTATTAGAGTTTTTTACTTTTAAAAATATATTTAATTTCAACTTTTTTTGAATAATAATTTTGTATTTATCTATAACAAATAGATAATTTATGATAAATCTCAAGTTCTTATATAATTTAATAAAAATTAAATCCTATTATTTTAATATAACATTTTTTAGCAATTATATTTAATTAAAGAAATTTTATTAGTAAATGTTTTTTATTACTTTTGTAATAATATAAAAGTAAAAATTATTATTAACTATAAATTTTTTAAAAAATTTTAAGAAAATATATTGTAAATTGTAACTAATAGACTAAAGCTTAAAATAAATTAGAAACTATTCAATTTTATTGTTTAATCAAAATTAAAAAAAAAATCTTAGTCTTAAACTTTGCTTAACTAGATAATAAAAAAAAATCTTATTTTGAACAAATAGTAACTTTTTTATTATTTAAAAATCTATTGTTCAAATCTTATTGATCTTAATATATAAGTCAACTCAATTGTAAAAATAAAACAAAAATAAAATATTAAATAATTTTTTCTATTATTAATAATATTATTAAGATATATATTATAATTAATAAAAACTTATAGATCACTGATTTCTTAAAAATTTCCTTTTATGGTAATTTTTAAAGGAAAAGAAAAAGCGAATAGAGAGATGAGTTCACAAAGGGAACTGAGAAGTAGACACTTACAAACAAGACCCAACTATAATGAAAACATTTTGACGAAAGGAAACACAAGAGTTACATGCAAAGAATTCAATACGCAGCTTCCAAAGGAAACAACCCTAGACAAGGGAAAAACAACCAGCCAAGTAGAACTCAGGGCAAATAAACAGGAAAACAACATGAAGAGAATGCGCTACACCACAGAGAATGGAAAAGAAGTTGAGCAAACAAGCCTTTCCATGACAAAACCCCAGGCACAATGGAGCAAACAAGTTGAAGAAAACTTCCAGCAAAATGGCCAAAATACAGCAAATACTTTTATTTCAGAAAGAGAAACAGAACTTGAAACCACTGTAGCAGCCTCCACAAGGAAACCCCAGGAAAGAAACGAAGAAATGGAAGCAGAAGAATGCCCCATGGAAGAGGACTTTGAACCAGGCTCGTCCACAAACACAACAGAGTATAGGAAAACTGTCCATCCATTGAACAGACCAGAAGAAAACTTGAATTCCTATCACAAACCCAGGCCAAGATCCCCTTTCAATAGAAGCACTAAGTATGGCAGAGAAAGAGTAAAAGTCAGTATAAAAGCTACCGAAATCCCAGGAAAAACATCTATTCAAAAAATCACATACCTGACAAGAAGCCTCAACTCTCTCAAAGGCTTGATTGCAATTCGCAGCGAGGGAAAAAATGAAGATGAACATATCATTGCTATATTTGGAGACCAACAGGCAGCTGATGAAGTATGCAACACAATCTTGCCTGATATCGATCAGAAACATCTCATACACATGGCAAACACCCCATCAGAACAAAAAAGGGAAAACAGTATCAGAGTATGGGACATCCTTTTAGACACAAAATTCATAGATATGCAACAAACCTTCTCCAAATATGGAGCGATCACCAATATCAGCATGTCTACACAACAAATGTGGCAAACCGCAACTATCACCTTTTCCAGAAAAGAGGAGAAAGATCAAATCATAAAGAAATGGAGCATCCCCATGAAAGCAGACTCAGTCAGAATCTTTGACGCACAATGGTCTTTACAACAAATGAAAGACTAAGGCACTATCGCAGACAAACTTACCAACTTACCACCAAATACTACAGCCTTTGACCTATGTCATATCTGTACACAAAGCAAGGCAAAAACATGTTACATTCCAAGATACATGTCATACAAGAGAAAATGCTTCGCAGTAATCAGTTTTGAAACACAGGAAGAATTGGAGGCAGCAATAGCACAAAGTTTTCAACTTGGTGAAACCATTACAGAATGGAAACCTATCGAGACAAAACTGTGTACCATATGTGATAGTGCAGACCACTTAGTAGCAAAGTGTCCATCCAAGGAGAGAAGAGCACAATGGCAACAATACCATCACGAACAAGTGAACAAATTTGGGAAATTATACAATAAATATAGACCAGCATGAACAAGCACAGTCAGAAACCTGACAAACCCTCCTAAAAACAAAAGGACATGTCCAGGCTCATATGTAGCAGCAGTCAGATAGAACCATATCAACAAGGAAAAACCAAAAGATCAAGAAGGACATGACACCCTCAACGAAATCCTAACAATCCTAAAAGATCTCCAAAAAGAAATTATAACTA